TTATTAATAAATCTTTTTGATGTTGTTACAACAGAGTAAGTAAATTGTGTACTTAGGTTCAAGTGTCTTTGTGCATATTAGTTTACTTCAGCTAACACAATATTTAAATCACTTGATGGGGGCTTTTAAGTAATGCCAGGAGAGGAGAGCAGTCGGAGGGGTTAAATGAGCACCTGGATTATTTCATAGTGGGTGTATCCAGAAATCTATCTATCCCTTCTCCTACTCCTGTGGATACAAGTACAGCAACTTTCATTTCATGGAACGAGCCACTCGCTGTTTTCTTGGCTATCCAGGACTGTCTAGGATCAACATAGCTTAGTTAATAGTCCAGTTTCTCACGTGGGTGGGCATTGTTAAGGTTCAAACCCACACCCTCACTATATCAGTGTATTTACCCACGTGGGCGCGCGACAAGCTCGCTGTGGCGGATAGTACCAGGGCATTCTTGTTAGGTGTCCAAACCACTTAACTTGTTGTTCTTTGATGAACTGTAAGACTGGCTTTATTCCTAGCATTCGTCTGATTTCATGATTTCGTATTCTGTCTTTCATTGAAACTCCTGCAGCTCTTCTAAGGCATTTCATCTCTGTTGTCACAATTTTACGTTCTTTGGAGGATGTAAGTGTCGACGTTTGGCACTGATAGCATAGTGTTGGCCAAAAAATAGTTATGATAAGATTCTCTTTAGTACTCCGAGGTATCTGCTTGTGTGTCAACAGGGGAGATGGTTGACCATTACTTGATTAGCTTTGGCACAAAGCTAATCAAGTAATAATATAAATAATTTGCTGGATGCTTATAATCCTACATGTATATTTTCATGGATATAAAATGTTCTTATTTCGTCAGTTACAGATTATCTTTTCCTATCAACATATTGTGATTTAAATTCAGTGTGCAACTTTGTATCATGCAGAGAATATCTAAAACTAATCCAGTCAGGTGTCGTCTCCACGGTGAAGGGTGTTCTCTTTCTGGGGGGAACAGCACAAAATATCATAAGGAAATTCAAAGAAAAAAAAAAATTTTCAAGACGCATAAAAATACGAGCACACGTTTCAACGTGTCTTTATCAAAAGCCAAAAAAAATAATTATAACCCACAAAAGCGAATGGTAACAGTCGCAGTGAAGGTAATATCTAAGAATGAAAGAAACAAAGGACCCCCCCCCCCCCTTTCCCAACCGCCTATCTTTTTTCCCCACAACCCCATGTGGACAAATGTATCTCCTATTTGATAGTAAAGTAAATAAAGTACACACACACACACACACACACACACACACATATATATATATATATATATATATATATATATATATATATATATATATATATATATATATAAACCTTTGAGATGTGTTTGGTTGATGAAACTACTCAATATAAATGTTAGATTAATCAGCACTGGACTAGATAAGTTAGTTAAGTGGCCCATTTCAAGCCAATCTTCTTTCATTCTTGGCAATTTCATTGCATAAATTATTTAGTCTGGGTCACCAGAAAGCAAAGGTCAATTAAAAAAAAAAACGCCTTGACTGGAAGCGGGATCAGTAATGGACCTTTTCCCGCCTTTTCTCTAATGGTAAGAAGATATTTTGAGGGCGGTATATTATTAGGATATTATTTTCAGCCGTACCCGTACATCGTCAAAATATGGAAGACCTGTCGTTTCGGTGTCACATGATTTGATCCATAAACTAAGGCCCTAAAACGGACCATTGTGTTAACGTTAGGTGTAATCCTTGTGGTGTAATCCTTGAAATGTAATCCTTGTGGTGTAATCCTTGTGGTGTAATCCTTGTGGTGTAATCCTTGTGATGTAATCCTTGTGGTGTAATCCTTGTGGTGTAATCCTTGTGGTGTAATCCTTGTGATGTAATCCTTGTGGTGTAATCCTTGTGGTGTAATCCTTGTGATGTAATCCTTGTGGTGTAATCCTTGTGATGTAATCCTTGTGGTGTAATCCTTGTGATGTAATCCTTGTGGTGTAATCATTGTGGTGTAATCCTTGTGATGTAATCCTTGTGGTGTAATCCTTGTGGTGTAATCCTTGTGGTGTAATCCTTGTGGTGTAATCCTTGTAGTGTAATCCTTCTGGTGTAATCCTTGTGGTGTAATCCTTGTGGTGTAATCCTTGTGGTGTAAATGGCTGTTGCGTGCTAATTTCACTGGGCTGGTCAGAGGCGTGATAGCCTATGCCGGTCGAAGCGGCACAGATGATGATGGTAACAGAGACGTGGACAAAATGGGTCCATGTGGCTTGAGGTGAGAGACGAGTGCAAAGATTCTTGATGTGCACGCATTCGTGAAAGAGGTGTTTCTAAAGATTCACAAACCTTGCAGGGCTCAGAGAAGCAGCTAAAGGGGGACCGTGGGTGTTGAGTTCAGTGCCTCTCAGCAAGTCAGAGTGTGCGGACGCATGGTCCGATGTCTGTGAATTCATGTCCAGATGTTTGGGAATTGTTAGCAGTAATTCGGTGTGTTATTTGAGTTCAGTGAAAGTTTATCTTGTGCATTAGAACTTTGGTGTAGGAGTCGAAATGCTCCCGTGTGCGTATTTTGTGGAGACATGGCGTGGAAGGCCCAACATGTGATTTGCCACAAGGCCGACAGAGGTCGAGCTGTGAAGTGTGGCGTTGAAGGCCCAACATGTGATTTGCCACAAGGCCGACAGAGGTCGAGCTGTGAAGTGTGGCATGGAAAGCCCAACATGTGATTTGCCACAAGGCCGACAGAGGTCGAGCTGTGAAGTGTGGCGCAATTACGAGGACGACAATAGTGTAGTGCCTCGTGATGATGCTGATTCGACTGTGTATCGAGAGACTAGAAAGCTGGGGCCGAGTCTGTAACCAGTTGTCATGTATCGGTTAGGGTGACCCGAAGTGAGTGCACGTAACTGAGGAGAAGAATCTGTCTTGGGTGACGACGCGAACAGGCGTAGGATTACTATAGAGAAGGAGAATGTTCTGGACTCACGCCGAGTCGAGGTGAGGTGTGCTCTTTCATGTGACATCGCTTTGATAGCTTATATAGTGTATAGGTGGAGCTTTAGACGGACAATCGTCCTGTATCAGCAGTTCATGCTCATCATCATGTTGTGTTACGCCCCAAAAAAAAAAAAAAAAAAACAAGCTGAAGCACGAGTAAAAAAATGACTCTGCACGTATTGTTGGTGTGGTCGGCTCTCAGTGGTATTGGTATGTTATGATTCTGAGAACTAACTTAACTTGGTACTTACACCACACTTCACTACTGACACTTCACTACAGTTTGGAGGCATAATCAGCCACTTTCACACACTTGGTTAGCGTGCGATGCCTCTGAACAATGTTGCAAGTGTGTGACAGATTGGCATCGATATCGCCTCCCAACAATCACTTTACAATAACATCAAATGTCTAGTGAGGACACAAGACTGACTCACTTACCGCTTGTGGATTTCTTCATTTTGTGCATGGGGCTGAGTCTGTGAACGACGGCGAAGTAGCGATCAAATGAGATGGCAGCCAGAGTGTTGATGGACACCAGGCTACACAGTGATGTCGTAGAACCGTACATCTGACATCCTGTCAGGGACACCAATCACCAAACATTTATTTTTTATTGGTAATCGTATCCAAGGATATTTTCATTGACCAATATTAGGGATCTGCGTGATCGTCATTACCACATAAAATGTTAAACATAAATATTACAGAGAGTACAGCTTTGGTAAATGTTAAGTAAAAGGAATCTCATTTCACTGTCCCTTAGCTAGCATGGCGAAGTGTTGAGGGAGCTTGTAGGGATCGTTCATGTGCTCTTTCTAAGACGCTGTGAAAGTACTTCTTCACGTCTCTATGGTTGTTCTTGATTCCGCCCTTCCTTCTCATAACACTCAGTCCCAATCTAGGACGCAATTTTCGTTGTTGTTCTAAAGCCCCAAGTGTATGTTGCGTCCACCCTAAAACAACTCAATCAATGGGTTGAACCGGGTATCTAGGAGATGTCCCAGTAATCCTTATCTGGATGGTGGCACTTTGCGTCACTTGGTGTGATGCCCTGGTGAGGTTGAATGTTAGTCAATCTGTGTTGTTGTCCTGCCCATTGCTTCTTTTGATTTTTATTCCAACTGCTGTGTGGCTGTGTTAGTAACTGAGCCTTTTCGTCAGGGGGCCAAACCATTTCATCTGTTGCTCTCTAAAAACATTGTATGACTGGTTTGTTCTAATTGTTTCCTCCCTTTTTTCCTCATGTTCTTCATATTATTTCTTCATGAGTTGTAGTGCCTTAGTTTATGTATCTGTGTGACATTATCATTACAGATCTTAACACTTCTTGTTACTCCAATAGCTGCCCTTAGAAATTTTATCTCTGCTGTTATGATTTTCCGCTAATAAATTCTCGTAAGAATTTGATTATGTCAAAGGCTGACTGAAAAGATGTGAGGTGCTTGTTACCATAGTACTTTATTTGCCCGTTCACATATCGTACAAAGATTTGTCTATTCTTCCATTTGTTTGTGGTCGAAATTGAGTCTATATTTAAAATGATTCTTTTTTATCATTGTTGTTGCTAATTACTATTATTCATATAGCTGCCTGTTGTCTACGTCGTACCCTTGTTTCAGCCTTTATATTTTGTTCATATGATATTTTCCAGACATGGCTGAGTTAGTTCTGGAGACTCTCTTCTACATCTGCATTTACCACTTTGCCCTCCTTCGTGCTCTCGCTTGACTTCCCTGCATCCATTGTCAATGTACGTATGTTATCTATGTTTGTTATGGAAAAGGAGGTAGGGGGGAGCACGCGTCCTTGAATTATTCTTGAATATACAGCAAATGGTGTTTGTGTACACAAATGATTACATGGAAAGTTTAAGTAACTATGTTACAAGAATTAGAACAACGGTAAATTAGTCAGCACTGACTGTTTAGAAGGAGATCTTAGTAAGTGAGCACCAGTGAGAGCTGCGGCATGGTAAACGTGTGGGTGCGAGTTTATAGCGTGCTCCAGAAGACGAGAACTTGTGGGTGCGAGTGTATAGAGTGCTCCAGAAGACGAGAAGAAAGCAAAGGTTGAAAATGAGCAGACAGGATACAACGTTCTTAGGGTACTATATACTACTATATACTAGGGTACTACACAAAGTTTATATGGAGACAATTTGCTCACATTAGAAATGTAAATGTTTTCTTTTGCATTCATTAGACACCATTTGAAAATACAATTATTATGAATGTTAAACTATAATAGATTCTAAAGTATGACCTAAAATACTACCTTGTGGTCATAAACTTATGGTGTGTTTTCCTGTTTTTCTTAATCCGTAAGCCATTCCATGTATTTTTAAAGAAATTTCTTTATTGATAGAAGTTCATGTAAGATCTTCCTCACATCTCCCTTTCCCAATACTTGGATAAAGTGTCTGGCAGAAGAAGAAGAAGAAGAAGAAGAAGAAGAAGAAGAAGAAGAAGAAGAAGAAGAAGAAGAAGAAGAAGAAGAAGAAGAAGAAGAAGAAGAAGAAGAAGAAGAAGAAGAAGAAGAAGAAGAAGAAGAAGAAGAAGAAGTAGAAGAAGAAGAAGAAGAAGAAGAAGAAGAAGAAGAAGAAGAAGAAGAAAATGAAGAAAATGAAGAAGAAGAAGAAGAAGAAGAAGAAGAAGAAGAAGAAGAAGAAGAAGAAGAAGAAGAAGAAGAAGAAGAAGAAGAAGAAGAAGAAGAAGAAGAAGAAGAAGAAGAAGAAGAAGAAGAAGACAAAGAACAGAGATTCAATAATCCTCCTAATCATTCCGCGTCTTACCTATACGTGTATCGGTAGTCTGGATTTTTCATTTCACACCCCCCCCCCCCTCACTTCACCTCAGCCACATCCCCTCCAGGTACACACACACACCGACACACACACACACACACACACACACACACACACACCAACAACAACAATAACATCGGACCAGGCCTGTGTTGCTGTCCTGCCAATGTCTAACGGTCATGTCACTCAGGCAGTCATCCATTCATCTTCCCTTGCTTTGCCCACCCCATCAATAGGTTGTCCAGTTGTAATCAAATTTGTGAGGTCATTTCTCCTCAATCTATGTCTTTCACATTCTGACTATTGGCATCTACTTTCTCTGATCAGTTTAAGGGTTTCATCTGTTTCATCTGTTTTTAATATCTTTTTTCTAGTCCTTGTAATTCCGTGCATTTCTCCACGGAAAGAACATTTCCGTTGCCTTTCGATGTTTTCCAGCGTTTTTGGATTCATTGAAAACTGTAAATAATTGACAACAGACATGATGAGCAGGAAGACGCAACAAACAAACACATTTATTAACCAGTATATCCCAGCAGCCAGCAGCCATTAAAACTGGACACTGCAAACATGGGGAAGTCTAACAAGGACATAATGAGGTCAGCTGTAGTCAGGTTCATCACAAACAAGTTCGATGACGTTCGAAGGCTGGAGTTTCTGAAACAAGAAGGAGATGTTTCCGTTAATTATTTGTCGTTTTCAATGCATCGATCGAAATGTTTATGGCGATTTACGCAGCTTGTCCGTGTCATACATTGACATCTTTATTAGACATAATTTCCTTCCGGTGAGCTATTTTTGGCATTTTTTTACCGTATTATGCTTATCGTCTGCTCAGCATCAATTAAGGGCCTTCTCCGCAATAAAATCTGGTTTAATTAATTTATAACACTCTCTGCCTCATAGGGTGTACTCCGAGAGACTGTTATTCGTTATTTCGTCAAGTGTTCTTTTCACTTGCATTTATGTCTAAAACTATTATAGTGATGGTGACACGTGTCCTGTTGCCTGTTTGTTCCTCTCTTTGTGTTATCTTTACACTTGATTCATTGTCTTTAGCCTGCTGTATACTCCGTTTAACTAATTTAATCATCTTTTGACGTTGTCTGCTCACTGGATTGATTGGTTTTAGCACTTCGTGCCTTGTGGTATAATTTAAAAAACAGTGATTAAATCGTCTTGGTGTCATTGTCTCACTTGCATTGTTGTCTAAAATAGATCTCGTCCCGTGGTAAAATCTGGCGTCTGTTATCAGTCAAGATTCTGGCTGGGGTGTAGTTGTGGTGAATGTGTGACTGCCAGCAGAGCACCAAACATGTGACTGTCATGGTGTGCATACAAGCAGCAGAGGCCACGTGAACTGCTTGAGGTAAGAGGAGCGAGCAGGCCGTCGACAACCAACATAATAGCGGACAGTGTGGACACCAGCGGTGTGACCCTGTCACCTGAGGGTAGAGTTGGATTGGCAGCTTTTGTGATAGCGATAGTATAGCTAGTAGTAGTAATTGCATTTGTAAAAGTACATTAACTGTGATTATTCTAGTAGAATTAAATGGTATTGAAAGAACTATGTCACTGTTTGTTATTGTTGTTATTGCTTGTAACTTGTTCAGTGGCAGTAGATTGCCTGTTTTCTGCAACGCCCAGTGGCCAAGAGGACACGTGAAGTCAGTGCAAAGCACGGCTTGGCAGTCTGGAATATTATACCATAACGTCAAGTGACTGCAAAAACATTTGATTAGGCTAGGTTCAACACGCAGACGATATAACATGATAATAAATACTGCAAAACTTGAAGTAATGCAGGTCAGTAGAATTCCCTGTCCGCTTCACATCTGGCTGAATGGTACTTGTCTGAAGCAAAGTAAATATTATAAATATCTAGGAAATATATTCTTGGAGGGCGGGAAAATAGATCGAGAAATAGAAACTAGATGCCAACGAGCCAGTGCACGTATATACTTACTGACAGCGTTATTAAAACATTCAACCTTAAGTATGAGCGCCACGAAACAAAAAATAAAAAGGCAATTTCAACACTGCTTCTAGTGCTAGATTTGGACACTCCCCTAGTTAAAATGTACACATGCGTGAAATGAGATGCCTCAGAAAAGACGTGAACTTAATAGTGCGAGACATAATTAGAAATGATATCGTCAGACAGACTGTAGGAACCACATCATGCAGCAAATTTATTGTAAAGCAGAAGATAAAATGGTTTGGTCATCTAGTAAGAGTTCTAGTAACGAAGTCAGACCAAGCAAGATGTACTTGGACATTCATTGATGCGTCCTAACCTTTGAGACGCGTAAGTCTAAGTGACAGGGGTGTCAAACTGGTGCCGGGTTGTATTGTGTCGACGGTCTTGCCGCCGACCACGCATGCTTTATATTACACGATGTGAGCAGTTTTAACGACCCGATAACATGTACGGCCCTAACCCCAAACTCCTTGACCCCACAGACTGGGCCTAGGTCCCGCTTACGTTGCTGCATATCTCTTGTACTCCTTTAACTTTCCTAATCTCCCTAAAAAAGGGGTGACGTATATTTTAATATAATAAATATAAATAATAAAAATAATAATATTTTAATTCCACAGTGTCGTATAAAGAAGTAAGATTTACAGATCATAAAGAAGATGTATTGGCAACAAACAGCAGCTATAAGTAATAATAAACAGTTGGGAACATTTTAGAGCATGAAAAGGGGTACGACAAAGATGCGTACTATCACCTGTTTTTTGTGCATTTTACAGATAATATATCACGAGATCTATCATGGATATACCAGGAATTGTGGTTGATGGTCACAACAAATATTACCTGCGTTATGCTGATGACACCATCATGATAGTAACAAGTCAGAAAGAACTCAGGAATTGATAGATGCCGTGTGTGGTAGAAAGTGATAAAATGGGTCTCAGTTTGAATACAGGAAAGACAGAGGTAAAGATGATTTCCAAAAAAAAAAAAAAAAAAAAGAATAGTGCCTAAATGTATTTTTTTTTAAAGTCGAAGGCTTTATTTTAGGACATGTACAGAAATTTAAGTATCCAGGCATACGGATAATATCTGACGGAAGATGTGTCACAGAGATAAAGAATAGAATAGGACAGGCCAAAACTGTATTTTACCAAATGAAAAACATTGTATGCAATAAATCCATGTCCCTGGAGGTTGGGAAAAGAATGATCTAATGCTATATAAAGCCAGTTTTAACATATGGCTGTCAAGCCTGGACAAGTAATAAACAAGCCGAACAATATGTTGTTTTTTTCTTCTTCCATTCCACCATGACGCTTGATATGACCAAAATATTTCAGCTTCCGAGACAAGATGCTGTTTATGAGAGAATCTTCCTTGATGTTCAGATCGCGTCGTCCACTGGCACGCCAATAGACGACTTCTTCGTCATTCGGGAAATATTTGGAATGTCTCCTTTGATGGCATCAAGACTGCAGGAGTCCTTTTCATAACTTCTGGTGGCGTGCAATGCTTCGCCATTTGTATACGGCGTAGATAATCTAGTCATAATTATAGCATAAAGCTCCCCTTTGGGAATGCTGGTTGAACCTTGACGATTTTTAATTTTTTACCCTAAAAACTATTATGATTTTCAGATCTTTCAATATGTTAGAATTTGTTCTCTTCTTTGTCCACGGTATTCTGGGAATCTGTCGATAGCATTTCGGCTCAAAAACCACTTTTTTCTTTATTAAAGGACGGGGAGATAGTACGCAATTTACGTCCCTATGTTGCTACAAGGAATATGCAAACTCTCAAATTGTTAATTCTGATTCCTTGCTGGTGCTTAACCATAGACTTTTAATGTTGTTTAGTCATATCTATCTACTACTTTGGTTCTCAACCTTCCTAATGCCGTGACCCTTCAATACAACTGTATTGTGGTGACCCACAACCATAACATTATTTTCGTTGCTTCTTCGTAACTTTAGTGGATATGTTTTTGTCGATGGTCTTATGCGACTCCGTGGAAAGGTCATTCGACCCCCAAAGGAGTCGTGACCCACAGGTTGTTAACCGCTGATCTGCTACAGTGATTTAAACTGTAAAGCACCTCTATACACAAAAATGACTTTGTGCCATCACTCATAGAGACATAGTGTTTGATTGTTACTTCAGGTCTTCTTTTGCCACTACGTGTATTTTCTAAGCCGTTGCGTGGTTTTATATTTAGTGAATATGTGCTATTATGACCATCGTAACTGTATTTGTTCATTAGATCTTGTGTTTTTCAGTGTTCTTCTATTTACATGCAGTCTCTTTTATAATTAATAGCTTCAGATGTTCTAATGAGATTTATTCTTAATGCGTTCGAGAAATCCAAAGAAGGGTTAGTTTTCTTGGCTACGTGAACCTGTAGAAGAAGAGAAGTAATTAGCAGAATTAGGCAATGAGAAATAGCCTGGGACATTCGACCCACAAAGTCGTGACCAAGTGTATACCCATTTTTTTTTTCTTTCAAATCCCAGGGTTACATCTGTAATAGAATTACTGTTTTGTTAATGTAACATTTGTATGATTATTTCAATCCCTTTACAATGTTTACATTTGGATTACTGTTTTCGTTTTATGAATTTAACATTTATTATAAAATCATTTCCACATCTTACAACCAGTGGAGAAAGGTTGTGCCATTCGGAATGATCAAGCGAGACAGAGAAAGGCAGACTGAAACAATTCTGGACGGGTTGGTTAACTCATTTACCATCGATCAGCGTTCGACCGTATCGAGAGGATAGAGCGCAGATCAATAGGGTAGAACAGAATCGTTTGCACTGCTCGAAAAAACAACAACACACAAACATGAAGAAGATGTGTAATTTTGTTCATGTGTCATAATAAAATAATAACCAGTTCAAGACCGCACGTTTACTTCACATGACGTATTTAAAGAAGACCATGTATGTAACAGAATCGGAGCTGTGGGGTGCTCTAATGCTTCGGTTTTTGTTTTTGTTGTTCAACGGGGTTTCTGGAATCTGTAGCTGTTTGATTCTGAACCTTGAAGTGTTAATCCCACAGACATAAATCCTAGAGGAAACAAGTTATTTATCCTTTCCTGTTTCATGGTTGAGCAGAAATTTGTGGTGGCCCATAGGGAGTTTTCCGCGGGTCTCAGAGAACCGTGGCCCATGGGTTGTAGAACACTAACATAAATAGGACCGCCGTCGAGCTGGGTTTCACCGCCCAGCTTTTGTACACACAGTGGAAGTGCTCACTGATTCACCAGGGTCACTTCTGTAGTCTATTAAAAAATTGGCTCCTATATCTAGCAATATAAAACTATTGTTGAAAATATGCCAACAACCCTCTTTCTTTCTTTCTTTCTTTCTTTCTTTCTTTCTTTCTTTCTTTCTTTCTTTCTTTCTTTCTTTCTTTCTTTCTTTCTTTCTTTCTTTCTTTCTTTCTTTCTTTCTTTCTTTCTTTCTTTCTTTCTTTCTTTCTTTCTTTCTTTCTTTTTTCTTTCTTTCTTTCTTTTTTCTTTTTTTCTTTCTTTCTTTCTTTCTTTCTTTCTTTCTTTCTTTCTTTCTTTCTTTCTTTCTTTCTTTCTTTTTCAAGCCTCTTTCCCTTTCCTACCCTCTTTCTCTCAGTTTTTTCTTTCATCTCAATGTATTTTTTATCATCAGATCTCTATTTTGTATCACTTTTTATGAGTCTTTGTCATGTCTTTGGATTTTCTTGAAATAACACCTATTTTAATGCAAATCCATGTTTCCATGGTGTACACGCCATGTTAAAATTGCTTGTTCGTTGTCCTTGCTTCTGTGCCTTATAACCGAACCCTGTTGAATATATATAACATTTGTCTTATCCCACGTTTATTTCTTTGGGCGGAGGGGTGTAGGAGATGTGATGAATTGTTTCCTCTTAGATATTTTTATCTTGTTTATATGACTGAATTAATTTTTGGGGATTTCTATTTTTATTTTTCAATTTGCATTACTCCTGCAATTATCTACAATTACTTGTGTAATACCAGAAATAGCAAAACAGCGTCACATGATAGACAGGAACAAACCTGTACATTCAGGTTTGCTGTCTGTCTAAAGCCAAAACAATGTGCTTATGTTGTTATTATTAAGTTAATGTCGACTGTTTGATCTGGTCTTTCTACGGACCTGTATGGTATGGGTGGAGAAAAACATACAGTATTCTTGCAGCGGCGGGTTTCCACTGACAATTGTTGTAAGCCGTGTGTTCTTCTACATCCCTGCCACTGATAATTGTTGTGAGCTGTGTGTTCTTTTATATCCCTGCCACTGACAATTGTTGTAAGCTGTGTGTTCTTCTACATCCCTGCCACTGATAATTTTTGTGAGCTGTGTGTTCTTCTATATCCCTGAATATTACTTCTGAATATTCTCCAGCTGAAGGTCCTTTTTCACTGCAAGCCGCGGTATTTAACGGCGAGACACTGACACCATGCATGGTCTAGGGCTTAAATCCGCAATGTGGCGTTATTTTAAATTCCTAGGCTGACCTAATCTCAAATGGGTTACCAGGTAATTTCCTGGGAAGTAATGGCGGCCAGCGTGATGTTTGCCCTGCCATCCACCGAGTGCTGATTGGTCTGTAACAGTTAAGGTTTAGCACAGCGTTTCCCAACATAGTTCTAAGTGCGATCCCATTTGATAGCGGCAAAATGATCCGCAATCCCCCACACACACACACACTCTCACACACCCACACCTACACACACACACACACACACACACCCACACACACCTACATACACACATACCCCCCCCCCCACACACACACACACCTTCACACTCACACACACAGACACACACACACAAAGGATTTTAAATAAGGTAAATAAAAACAAATCAAAAATCTATTTTTTTAGTAGAACAAAATTCGAATAATTCTAAAGGACTACATGTTTAATGAAGTTTCAACTCATTATCAAGCTTATAAATATGCGGTTGAGTTGAGTTTTCATTACTGTCAGCCTCACGTCTTTATCAACAGTCAATCGGTTCAGCAAACAGATCTTAGTTCTTTACGTTTCTTTCATCCCATCTCTGTGGCTAAGGCTTTGCGTACGCGCTTCGTAGTGCCAGGTTGCGTGCCTTGTGCCTTGCCTTGGTTTTGACAGTGGTATCGAGAAGCCGAGCGGAGTCCGTGGCTAAGGCGTTGCGAGTCCGACTCGTAAGCCAGCATACCGCGATCGAAACCCACTGCAGGCTGCGTGGATTTTTATCGTGGAATGGGACGTCGCAGGTCGACCCAGCCTAAAATGGGTACCAGGGTCTGTCCTGGGAAAGTAAAGACAGCCGGTGTAATGCTGACCACATTATCCACAGAGTGCTGATGGTCTGTAAAAATATGGGACGCTTTGCCCATATGCCCGATGCGCCGAAGGGCGTGAAAAGGGATCTTTACTTTTTTACTTACTATCGAGAAGCCGACCATTCAGGAGAAATGACAAACTACGGGACGTAAATTTGCCTAGAAAAACCACAACAGCCACAAAATGCTAGCGTTGGTTCTGCACCGTCCTGTAAAGGATACGCAACTAACTTTATCTCATCTCAGGGATTTCAAGATTTTGAAGGGAATTCCCTGTAAAGATATTATGGGGTGGGGGTTCTCATTTTACACCCTAACACCCCTATACTATAGCAACAATGCCAGAAATCGAATCATTCACCTCCAAATTACAAAAGGAAAAGCTGGTAGATATATTGGTGGATATATTGGTGGATATTTCGTAGATATTTTGGTAGATATATTGGTAGATATTTCGTAGATATATTGGTAGATATATTGGTAGATATATTGGTGGATATATTAGTGGATATTTCGTAGATATATTGGTAGATATATTGGTAGATATATTGGTAGATATATTGGTAGATATATTGGTAGATATATTGGTAGATATATTGGTAGATATATTGATGGATATATTAGTGGATATTTCGTAGATATATTGGTAGATATATTGGTGGATATTTCGTAGATATATTGCTATATATATTGGTGGATATTTCGTAGATATATTGGTAGATATATTGGTAGATATATTGGTAGATATATTGGTAGATATATTGGTAGATATATTGGTAGATATATTGGTAGATAGATATATTGGTAGATATATCGGTAGATATATTGGTGGATATATTAGTAGATATTTCGTAGATATATTGGTAGATATATTGGTGGATATTTCGTAGATATATTGGTATATATATTGGTGAATATTTCGTAGATATATTGGTAGATATATTGGTAGATATATTGGTAGATATATTGGTAGATATATTGGTAGATATATTGGTATATATATTGGTAGATATATTGGTAGATATATTGGTAGATATATTGGTAGATATTTTGGTAGATATATTGGTAGATATATTGGTATATATATATTGGTAGATATATTGGTAGATATATTGGTAGATATATTGGTAGATATATTGGTGGATCTATTAGTGGATATTTCGTAGATATATTGGTAGATATATTGTGGATATTTCGTAGATATATTGGTAGATATATTGGTAGATATATTGGTAGATATATTGGTAGATATATTGGTAGATATATTGGTAGATATATTGGTAGATATATTGGTAGATATATTGGTAGATATATTGGTAGATATATTGGTAGATATATTAGTAGATAGATTGGTAGATTTATTGGTGGATATTTCGTAGATATATTGGTAGATATATTGGTGGATATTTCGTAGATATTTTGGTAGATATATTGGTGGATATTTCGTAGATATATTGGGAGATATATTGGTAGATGTTGGTAGAAATATTGGTAGATATTGGTAGATATATTGGTAGATATTGGTAGATATATTGGTAGATATATTGGTAGATATATTGGTAGATGGTAGATATATTGGTAGATGGTAGATATATTGGTAGATATATTGGTAGATATATTGGTAGATATATTGGTAGATATATTGGTAGATATATTGGTAGATATTGGTAGATATGTTGGTAGATATATTGGTAGATATATTAATGGATATATTAGTGGATATTTCGTAGATATATTGGTAGATATGTTGGTTGATATTTCGTAGATATATTGGTAGATATATTGGTGGATATTTCGTAGATATATTGGTAGATATATTGGTAGATATATTGGTAGATATATTGGTAGATATATTGGTAGATATATTGGTAGATATTGGTAGATATTGGTAGATATATTGGTAGATATATTAGTAGATAGATTGGTAGATATATTGGTGGATATTTCGTAGATATATTGGTAGATATATTGGTGGATATTTCGTAGATATTTTGGTAGATATATTGGTGGATATATTGGTAGATGTTGGTAGATATATTGGTAGATATTGGTAGATATATTGGTAGATATTGGTAGATATATTGGTAGATATATTGGTAGATATATTGGTAGATGGTAGATATATTGGTAGATATATTGGTAGATATATTGATAGATATATTGGTAGATATATTGGTAGATATATTGGTAGATATATTGGTAGATATTGGTAGATATGTTGGTAGATATATTGGTAGATATATTAATGGATATATTAGTGGATATTTCGTAGATATATTGGTAGATATATGGTTTATATTTCCTAGATATATTGGTAGATATATTGGTGGATATTTCGTAGATATATTGGTAGATATATTGGTAGATATATTGGTAGATATATTGGTAGATATATTGGTAGATATATTGGTAGATATTGGTAGATATATTGGTAGATATATTGGTATATATATTGGTGGATCTATTAGTGGATATTTCGTAGATATATTGGTAGATATATTGTGGATATTTCGTAGATATTTTGGTAGATATATTGGTGGATATTTCGTAGATATATTGGTAGATATATTGGTAGATATATTGGTAGATATATTATTAGATATTGGTAGATATATTGGTAGATATATTGGTATATATATTGGTGGATATATTGGTGGATATATTAGTGGATATTTCGTAGATATATTGGTAGATATATTGGTAGATATATTGGTAGATATATGGTGGATATTTCGTAGATATATTGGTAGATATATTGGTAGATATATTGGTAGATATATTGGTGGATATAATTGGTAGATATATTGGTAGATATATTGGTAATNGTAGATATATTGGTGGATATTTCGTAGATATTTTGGTAGATATATTGGTGGATATATTGGTAGATGTTGGTAGATATATTGGTAGATATTGGTAGATATATTGGTAGATATTGGTAGATATATTGGTAGATATATTGGTAGATATATTGGTAGATGGTAGATATATTGGTAGATATATTGGTAGATATATTGATAGATATATTGGTAGATATATTGGTAGATATATTGGTAGATATATTGGTAGATATTGGTAGATATGTTGGTAGATATATTGGTAGATATATTAATGGATATATTAGTGGATATTTCGTAGATATATTGGTAGATATATTGGTTTATATTTCCTAGATATATTGGTAGATATATTGGTGGATATTTCGTAGATATATTGGTAGATATATTGGTAGATATATTGGTAGATATATTGGTAGATATATTGGTAGATATATTGGTAGATATTGGTAGATATATTGGTAGATATATTGGTATATATATTGGTGGATCTATTAGTGGATATTTCGTAGATATATTGGTAGATATATTGTGGATATTTCGTAGATATTTTGGTAGATATATTGGTGGATATTTCGTAGATATATTGGTAGATATATTGGTAGATATATTGGTAGATATATTATTAGATATTGGTAGATATATTGGTAGATATATTGGTATATATATTGGTGGATATATTGGTGGATATATTAGTGGATATTTCGTAGATATATTGGTAGATATATTGGTAGATATATTGGTAGATATATTGGTGGATATTTCGTAGATATATTGGTAGATATATTGGTAGATATATTGGTAGATATATTGGTGGATATATTGGTAGATATATTGGTAGATATATTGGTAGATATGTTCGTAGATAGATTTTTATAGACCGATCGCCTCTCGTTTGAAAGGCCACCTTTATTTCCCAGGGCAATTCCTATTATAAATGTGAGACTAGATCTACTGTATTTAAGAATTTACCCCAAAACCGATGTGAACCCAAGACTTCCGTGCCGTCAGGCAAGCGTCTAACCACTGCTCTATTTCTTACTTGTCTATAAATTACGTTGACTGACACTTACATTTCTCAGTGAATGTTCTACCATGTGCTGTTTCTTCCTACCCTATGGTTTCTTGGTCGCTTCTTCCTTGAATATATTTGTGTTCAAAGGAAAGATAGAGTCTAGTAGTTGTGGCTAGTTTATTTACCTCATTTACCCACCCTTTTCAACAATCTTTGAAGCTTTAAAAAGCATCTTTAAAAACACACATTACCACCACCACCCTTTTCTAGGAATAAAAACAACATTAGCTAGATGTATGTCTACAAGCAGAAGCTACGTTTGTGAGAAGCAGACTATAAATAAATACATCGTTAGAACTGAGCGTCTTGCTGATTGCTTGCAACGATGTAACAGCTCAAGGTTGATAACTCTGAAGTCATGCGAATAAGAGAACAAGTTTTTCCGTGGAGATCTTTCTTTCCGAAATGATTCTACATATATGTAAATACAAATGATGCTACAGTATAATCACATGTGTTTGTTCCAGTTGCGTGATGTTATAATAATTAAATTCATTACACACTGGACATTACTATGCGCGCTCAATCCTCCCATTTAGCAGCCACCACAAAGTAGTTCTAATGATTGTTTTTATAAGAAACTATCTTGACCATGAAGGTAAATAGGTTACCTAATCAGGCTAGCGTCTGAGACTCCTTATTGTTCACTATGTCTAGTATGTATAACGTTGTTGCTAGCAGCTCTGATCATTATTCTACACGGCCATTTGGCCAGCTCTTTCATTATCCCTGACTCATGCATTTCACGTGTGTAGATTCAGTTGACGGAGTTTAAAATCGATAGATTTTAAACTCAAAATTTTGCCCGGCTAGCCCCGTTAGACTACTCTTTACGATTTCCAACTGCCAAGAGAGTTTTTATGTACGCAACAATGCACTCGGGCGTCCGATCTCACTACCCAGAGATCAGGGAGAATAACTAGAAGTCAAGATCCAGGTTTAAAATCCTAGCCCTTACCGGGGATTGAACCTGAAACCTCTAGCACTCGAGGCGAACACCATGAATCGAGACCACACCGCCCCCCCCCCCCTTTTTGTTGTTGTTGTTGTTTGAAGCAAGTGCATGGAGTCTTATACGATTACCACGTGTGTGGCTGCGTGTTCTGCTGCCCATGCATATTCTTTAAGGGATTGGGGGGGGGGGGGGGCACGGTTGTTTCCATAGTCATCCTCTTGTATTATTGTCCCCATCCTTTCCATTGCATTCGCCCATGCGGTCCTTGACCCAGGCTCCATAGATCCATCTGTGTAGATGACAGTGTCTTCTGACATGAATGTTTATCTATCATTGCCGTTATCCAGATGTCTACGAAGGAAGGAATCTGCTTCTCGCAATACAAAAGCTCCTTGTTTCAGACGCACTGCTATGATTTGTTCTAGGTTGTCGTAATATTAACTTAATGTTTAAGCAACCTTCACTCTGCGTTGGCCTCACCGGTCCAAGCTTCCATGTCCGTCTTATAACAGTTATTTCTGAGAATAATTATTTCCGTTAACACCAGTAAAACCATCGAAGGCACTAATGCCTCTGAGGTAAACAACAAACAGCCATAATTTGCGTTTCAATAAACTTGGGGGCCGCGTCTTTTTCAAATTCAGCTGCGACTCGCTGCAGCCCACGGCCGGTGTTCCAAACAGGCCGGTTTTCGGGGTTTACCCAGCCTCTAGGAAATGGGTACCAGAGTTAACACTCTGAGGCAAATGGAGGAACGTCGCTGTAGCTACGGAGTTGTGTGCGGACAGCGACACAGGCGGACAGTTTCTTATCAGCTGCCCGTACTAGTGGCAGAGCACTTATGGTTTATAACCGTGTGCAATGACGCTGGTTGACATCTCCCGACTTTACCTTTTTACCTGTTTTTTTTTTTTTTTTTTCTCGTTTTACTTATTAATTAAAGTGAAATCAACCAAAAATCAGTTGTACACTTTACTAAACGAATCCAGTGTTTGTTGGCTGTTTGTGATTTTTATGAGACAATTTTAAGTGCAATAGTCTGTGATTGCTCTTCTCTTGTATATAATTATACAGCTACTGTTCTCGTTCAGTTGTGTCAGACTTAGTCCCATTTTCTGAGATATTACATTCTGGGTGACATATTTTGTTTGTAATCACCATTATTTCTTTTTTTCCCTCTGGTTAAGAGGTCTAAAACAAAACACAAGTCTGACAAGAATTTCGGTTTCTGTAAATCTACAGCGTAGATATCGATCTATGACAGCTCACAGAGCTGATACTGAGTATTTAAACTCTAAAAGTTCGTTCAGCTCTGAGATCACGCGGGTGTGTCTATTTTAGCTCCATGTTTACACTAACAGTGCAGAAGCGAGATGTATTGCTGTTGACTTGATTGTTGTGTAAATGAGTTGTTGTGCCAGTAAATGTCAAAACTGGCACAGGTATTCAGGTCAAACTATTTTAGCGAGGAAAAAAAAAAAGCCCAGAATGAGCACAGTATTTTTTGA